AATTAACATTAACATGAAGCCCTAATAATAATAATAATAATAAATCACTTGTGTGTGTATATGCATATATATATATATATATATATATATATATACACATACACACACAATGTGATTTCTGTTAGTGATCATGTGATCTTCGGTTAGGAGATCTTGTGATGCTTTTTAAAGCAAAGTTGGGGTTGATTTCGAGTTCACATACAAACATAAATAGAATAGGCTAATTAAATTTTTCAATTTTAATGTAAGACAATTTTTTGTCAGTGATAGAAATATGATTTAAGAGTGTAGTGTAAGCAAGTTTAGTTTAAAAACGTTTAATAGTAAATAAGACACAATTAGACAATATTTGAATAAAATAATAATAATAATAATAAATATTTATTTGCAACAACTGATGGAGTACTGAATGCTGCAGCGTTGTTAAGGTAACATTTGGTCAGTCATTCCCTTCGCCAAGGGAGTTCCAAACGCTTATACGAGACAGTAATACCCTGCACCCTTCAAAGAACACACTTCAAGGGCTCTGCCCTTCGAAGGGAGTAGGGCATAGGGATGCTCACTTCTGTTTGGAATTCGCCCCATGTCTCTTGTATCACCACGGAGGTGCGGACGTGGTCTCTCGTTTCATTCAAATGCAGCTTGCCGTCTTGCGTCTCAGTTTTTGATTGTATTGAAAATTAAATCAGAGGAATTTAGTATTACTACTACTATAATTTTGCTGTAGTGATCATATTGTCCTGACGATTTTTTTTGTACACTGTTCATAATGGATTTACGAACAGGTAAGATTTCAAAACATTAATCTCAATTCAATATTTCATATCCCCGTATTTATATATTATTATAGGTAAACAAAACAAATCTGTGTAATAAGTTAACTATGAATATACAATACATTATCCCTTAAATGTCAACCTTATAGTTTGAACGTTCGTTCGTCTTGGCTCAAAGCCACTTGCTGAGAACTTTTCTTCGCGGAAGCTTTGCATTATTTACAAGTGAGATAACGAAACATTGAATCTCTAATCAATATTTTTTGTCCAGTTATTTGCCCAGTTAGTTTTGGTATTGAGGTAAAAGTTGCCTTCCATTCGCTATAACAGTGGGTGGTGGTCACGAAGATGACTTTGCAGCGACTTTCTTCTTGCAAGATCAGCAGGCAGGGTGACTGTCCTCGATTGCCTTCAGGACTCTTGTAAAAGCCAAAATACAACCAGACCACCGATTTGGTCCTCTTAGATGGCTGAAAAATCTCCCGAGCGCTGTCACTGCCTTCCGCCATTTCATCTTGTGCAAAAAAAAATAAACCTTGCATGCTGCTTCTGCGTCAGACTGATGCTGGCTGGACAGGATTTACCGCGAGTTTTAAAAATCGTGATAATCAAATACGGTTTTGATGATAATTAAATTTTAAACGATAATACTAACCGTCAGGGCATTTTATCGTGAAACCGGTAATTGTTCCATCCCTAACTTGTGATAATCACAGTGTGAGTAATATGTGAGCTCATTGTGAATTCAAAATGTTGAGCAGGTTGAGAGGATGCAGTTCAAATATCAGTCACCGAGGAGGCTTTCTATATCCTGTTTCTCAACACTATCACAGTGATATCACAGTGCTCTCACATGGTGAGCTCATGAGTGCACACTCAGCTAACAGTTTTTTGTTATAAGAACCTCCTCCAAACATACAACTGACTTCCAGAGACAGCCTTCGATGAAATCAACTGAAATACAAAATACATTAAATCTCTCATGATCTCAGCAGAGAATGATTAAACAACTCCACAAACAGCATCACCAGCTTCACTCATTATTAACCAGACTGACTTTATTTCTGTCAGACATCTACAAAAGCGCTTATTGAGAATTAACAGAGATTTAGATGTTTTATTGTTTCATTTGACGCTACCATCAAGTTGATTAGTGTTTGCTTTAGTTGGGCTCTTGACCCTTGACTTTATAACATTACATTTTTTTGGGCTGCTGTAACTGTGTTTGCAAAGCACATTAGTTATGGCAAGATTACCAAAAATAGACTGCAGCCAGGTGATATCGGTGATTAGTGTTTGCTTTAGTTGGGCTCTTGACCCTTGACTTTATAACATTACATTTTTTGGGGCTGCTGTAACTGTGTTTGCAAAGCACATTAGTTATGGCAAGATTACCAAAAATAGACTGCAGCCAGGTAATATCGGTTTGTTACTGTTGATAACAACACAAGATTCACCCAGATTCAGTGTGCAGTATTTGTGAGGAGTTATTAATCTAAAGTTTCTAATTTGAATAGCTCTTTAATTATACAGTATAAGATCCAACAGTGTAATAATTTATAAAGGATTTTAGAAGCATGATGAGTCACAAGCATTTTGAACTGCTCTGTCATTTAAAAACAAAGAGACACATCAAGAATCAGTGTATGAATCTGAACAATGGTAACAATCAAAAGCTTCATGCTGCAATGCATGCTGGGTACCTAGTCTCTGTGCAGTGAGTGCACTTTGACCTCACATTAGTATGAGCACACATTGAGGGCACTGAGGTTACACTTTTAGCTCACTGTGACCTCACATTGCGACCTCATCACGTGTATCCTGGGAGCTCACGGTGACATCACTCTGAGATCAAAGTGTTGACTGGGTAGTGCAATGTGAACTAGCTTTAAGATTTTTACTTACATTAACAACGGGTAATAAATACTGTAAAAATGTATTGCTCATTGTTAGTTCATGTTTGTTAAAGGATTATCTAATGCTTACAAATGAGACCTTATTGTAAAATGTTACTGAAATGGTAGTGTAAATTCTATTGAAAATATATCTGTAATTTTGTCATGAAAAATGTGGTTTTCCAATTTATACTAGATTTAGATGCGATCTATATGTCACATTTATGTAGAACATTTTGAAAAAATAAAAGGTCGTTAAGATTTTTTAAAATGTTTTTGAAAGAAGTTAAAATTTTTGAAATGTAAAGAAACTTAAATATTTTAAAAAGTAATTTATTCCTGTGATGGAAAAGCTGAATTTTAGGAACCGTTATTAAAGAAACATTTCTTATCACAGTAGAAAACAGCGGTTCTGTTTAATATTTTTGTGGAAAATAAAATCTATTTCAGGATTCTTTGATGAATAGAAAATTCCGTCTTTGTCACTTTTGATTGATTTAATGAATCACTTCTGAGTAAAAGTATTAATTTAATAAATCTTACTGACCCCAAACTATTGAACGGTATTGTACATTATACATTTCATTGATAATAAAATGGGACTGTTCCACATGTGTTCTTGTGCAGGGAAGGGACCCTAAAAGCAGGCGATCGGATCTTAAGTGTGGATGGTGTGGTTTTACACAGTGCTATTCTGAGCGATGCTCTTACAGTACTGACTCAGTGTGGCCAGGAGGCCCTGTTCCAGATAGAGTATGATGTCTCCATCATGGGTGAGTTACTTCAGTTGCACTTGTTTCATACGTTGACAGAATGAAAATTCCACATGTCCCAGTGGATCAACATGCCATTTGTTTTGTATGTTGCACTTTGAAAGGAAATTATGAATTAACCCTCATAATGCCTTCTAAACCTGTATACAGTTTTCACATTCTAGGTCTGTTGATATCTGAAGAATCGTTATTTTATAAAACAGTCCTTAATGTTTTTTTTTTTTCAACTAAAACCATACTGCATCTGATCAATGACTTCAAATTAATGAGTGAAAGTGAAAAAAAAAACTTGTGCAGGGAAGGGACCCTAAAAGCAGGCGATCGGATCTTAAGTGTGGATGGTGTGGTTTTACACAGTGCTATTCTGAGCGATGCTCTTACAGTACTGACTCAGTGTGGCCAGGAGGCCCTGTTCCAGATAGAGTATGATGTCTCCATCATGGGTGAGTTACTTCAGTTGCACTTGTTTCATACGTTGACAGAATGAAAATTCCACATGTCCCAGTGGATCAACATGCCATTTGTTTTGTATGTTGCACTTTGAAAGGAAATTATGAATTAACCCTCATAATGCCTTCTAAACCTGTATACAGTTTTCACATTCTAGGTCTGTTGATATCTGAAGAATCGTTATTTTATAAAACAGTCCTTAATGTTTTTTTTTTTCAACTAAAACCATACTGCATCTGATCAATGACTTCAAATTAATGAGTGAAAGTGAAAAAAAAATAAATAATCAGTTTTGACTGTTACATCTTATTAACATATTACCATACTATTTCTGCATTTACCCTTTTTTTATTAAATACAAAATGAGAAATTATTTAACTACACATGAACCACACACAAAATACGTATGTTTTCAGTGTTGAGACATTTTATTTAAATATATCATTGTACTGTATGTATTTCATAAGAACATATGCTCTGAGAATTAGCCGTATTAATTCTATTGGAATAAATGTATAACTCAATTGAAAACAGCCCAAATTTATATATATAAAAAAAAAAAAAGCACATACATATTACTCTGAAAATTTTTCAGACAAAATAAATTTACTTAACTTGTATTGGCAGTTTAAAAAAAAAAAAAAAAAACCATGATCAAGTTTTCATGCTGCAGTAGTTCGTCCAAAACCTTTATATTCATGTTTATCAGCAAGGCTAAATATATTTTATAAAGTTTTGACATTGAGTAACTCCATAGATAATTTTACAAAAAGTATTTTTGACACTAAAGGTATTCCATACATACCCGGCTTGTTACGGGGCTGACGAGACGGGAGACGTGCGGATCCATATGCAAAGCTTTTATTAGGAGAAGACAGATACGTGGCCATAAAACAGGCATGGGTCGGATAATGGCAGACAGGAATAAGGCGGGCAAGACACAAGAATAATCCTAGGGCTAGCGTAGGTGGATGCACAGCAAACAGAATCAGAAGGGACAAGACTAAAGGGAGAAATCCAGGAAACCAGGCGAAGATCAGGAACCGAGAAAAAGGCTAAGGCTAAGATGAGATGCACTAAACAATACTCGGCAGAGGGAAGGGATCAGAGTGAGTGTTAAATAGTGAGGGAGTGATATGAAACAGCTGGGTGCAATCAGTGTTAACAGCTGTGTGCAATCCGTGCTGAGTGCAATCAGTGCAATTAATGATGGGGTATGTAGTCCGGGGTGATGTGCAACAGTGTGTAGTGCGAGAGTCAATGAAATTGGAAAGGGTGACCTCTGATGGCTAGCAGATGGAAGTTCATAGACCGGATTCGTGACACGGCTAATACGCAAGTAAAATATTGTAACAATTCTGAAAATAAGTAAGTAAATAAAATAAGTAAGTAAGTGTATTTTGAGGGTCTTTTACAAAGCATTTACAAAGTTTTGGTTTCCTATCTGAAAACTATTTTTTAGAACATTTTTATATGTCTTTTCTGGCTCAAAATGGACCCAAATGTATAATATGTGGTAATCAAATTACTTAAGGATTTATAGAGTGCTTGTCCATTTGTAGACATTCTCCAGAAACACAGCGCTTCTCTCCAGAGATCTCTGCTCTGTTTAGCCATCTACACTGTTTCGTCTGGATGAGCAGCAGGTTGTTGACCTTCAAGAGCGGAGAAACAACTCTCATGCATTTACCAATGCTGTTAAGCTAATTTATGCTAGCCACAATTAGCATAACGCCCACTGTTGTTCTCCTTGTAGAGTTAACGAGGTCGTATCCTAGAAAATAGAGGTTTAAAATAAACTTTTGATGCTCACAACTTCCAAAAAGACTCTTTATTGAATGTAAGCTGCAGAAAGGATCCATTTAGAAATCACAGCGTAACAATGCTATGCTTGTCTGTCCTTATCACCTGCCCTCAGACTCGATGACAAACGCTTCAGGTCCTCTGCTGGTGGAGATTGCCAAGGCGCCCGGAGCCAGTCTGGGAATCACTCTGACCACTGCCATGCACAGGAACAAACAGGCCATCGTCATCGACAAGATCAAGCCCGCCAGTGTGGTGGACAGGTACACACTCAATGAGACTCTTTCATCAAACACCAGCACAGTAAACAGTAAAATTGTGAAACAACAATTTTCTTTCACAAACTGCTTGGAAAAACAACCAAAATGGCATATTTTCATGAAAAACAACACAAATCATCGAGCAGTTTCATAGGATTTCTGCAAAAAACAATGTTTTGTCACTGATGCCATTTTGTAAAATGACTTTGTCATCTACAATAATGGAAATGTATGTTAAACTGTTTATAGTGTACAAAAATAATTTACTTAATTTAGTTTCTTAATTTTTATGTAAATGGTTTTATTACTTACCTAAATTAAATTTAAAATTTACATTTGAGTAAAACCATGGTTTGTGAAACCATTTTCACACAAAAAAAAAATGTAATATATATATATATATATATATATATATATATATATATATATATATATGTATGTAGTTTGAACAATTTTTACATAAATAAATTTATTTATTTTCACATAAATTGTTTGTCAAACCATATCTAAATTGTTCACAAAGCTAAATCATCCAACACAAATTGTTGATAAAACCATTCTTACAATGGATTTTTTTTGTAAAGTAATTGTTTTTTATCTAGTATTTTATTTTCATGTGAATTTATCTTTATCTATTTTTTTTATGTAAATTGTTTGTTACACCATTCTTCTGCAAATTATATATTTTTTTTCCTAAATTATCCATGGCCATTTTTACAGAAATGTTTGTAAATCTTCCTGCACAAGTTATTCATAAAAACAATTATTACATAAAGGATTTTATATTTGTAAAACGATTTTTGCACAACTGATTTGATTTTTATAGAAGTGCATCGTAAACAAACTATTTTTGAATAAATGCATTGCTTTTAATGTAAAGTAAATTGTTTGTAAAAGCATTCTTGCACAAATTATTTTTTTGCACAAATTGTTCACAAAACCATTTTTTTAAAGAATTTAATTTTCCTATTACCTTTACCCAAACAACTTTATTTTACTTTTCACATATTGTAAATTTGTTTGTAAAATCCTTCTTCCAGAAATGATGTTCTTTTAAAAAAAAAAATTCACAAAACCATGTGAAGGATGTTATTTTAAAGGGGAAAAAAACAAAACATTGTTTTACAAATTACTTGATTCCAACTTTCGATTCTTACGTAACGATTTTACAACCAGTTTCCACAGAGATTCTTCATAGTCATTAACTGCACACAGTCATATTTACATTGATCAACTGTTGAATACAGTTGAATTTAAATCCCTCAGAAATATGTCATTTTAATGAATGTAATTTTAATCTGTTATAGTTAAGATGCATGTTTTTTTTGTGAATATGCATTTTATATATTCTTGTTTCTATTACATTTTAAATACCACATGAACCATAATTCGCCATATAACTTTGTTTTTCCATACATTTCACAAATTTCTGAGGGAAATAGAGCATTCAGATTCATTATTAGGATAATTTGGGTGAGTTTTGATGTTATTGATGTCCCACATTTATGACAGTTCTAGCAGTTCTCTGTTTGCGTCTCAGGTCTGGAGCGTTACACGTGGGTGATCATATCCTGTCTATAGACGGCACCAGCACAGAGCACTGCTCCGTCCTGGAGGCCACGCAGCTGCTGGCCAGCACTACTGATCAGACCAAACTAGAGATCCTCCCCGCACACCAAACACGCCTGCCTGGGAAACCCCAGGACACTGGTGAGAGACGGGAACATGTAGAAACTGCTGCGCTTTTCCAGACATGGATTAGGCTTAATCTGAGACATCAGATGGTTGAATCTGATCTCGGAACGGACCTAAACTGTGTCCGGAAAACTGTCTGTGAATTATTATTATTTTATATATATATACAGTGGGTACGGAAAGTATTCAGACCCCCTTAAATTTTTCACTCTTTGTTATATTGCAGCCATTTGCTAAAATCATTTAAGTTAATTTTTTCCCTCATTAATGTACACACAGCACCCCATACTGACAGAAAAACACAGAATTGTTGACATTTTTGCAGATTTATTAAAAAAGAAAAACTGAAATATCACATGGTCCTAAGTATTCAGACCCTTTGCTCAGTATTTAGTAGAAGCACCCTTTTGATCTAATACAGCCATGAGTCTTTTTGGGAAAGATGCAACAAGTTTTTAACACCTGGATTTGGGGATCCTCTGCCATTCCTCCTTGCAGATCCTCTCCAGTTCTGTCAGGTTGGATGGTAAACGTTGGTGGACAGCCATTTTTAGGTCTCTCCAGAGATGCTCAATTGGGTTTAAGTCAGGGCTCTGGCTGAGCCATTCAAGAACAGTCACGGAGTTGTTGTGAAGCCACTTAGTTGATTTGCTTGTTTATTTAATTAAGACTCAGGATCAACTTTTATATATACAGTATATATATATATATATATATATATATATTTATTGTAACGAGGCGTCAACCGAGTGAGGATCCATTTGCAGTTTATTAGAAACCGTAATCAACAGGCAAAGTCAAACACCAGCAAACACAACAGAGGAGAGAAGTCAAATCGTAATATCTAAGGTAATACACGTAATATCTGCAAAGGGTCGGGGCAGGCAGCAAACAATCAGTGGTCAGTAAAACAATAGCAAGAGTTCGGGGCAGGCGGCAGGCAATCAGAAGGAGAGAAGCAGTTCAGGTAATACACAGAGAGGCCAGACACGGAAAGAAACGCTCAGAAATGTGCACCGGGGCAATACAAGACTTTGCAAAGAGGGAGAGTCTGAGAGCTGTTTAAATAGTCACCTAATGGGGATCAGGTGCAGTGGGTGTAAGTGTATGTGTGTATACCGGATTAAAGTTCAAAACTCAGGAGAGAGTTCCCTCTGGTGGTGAGCAGGAGGCACAGCGGGAGTCTCGTTTGTGAGAGAGCCCCCCCCCCGTGAGCGGCTCCTGACGCAAGGAGGCAGACGACGCCGGGGTCTTCCACGTGGTCGAGGGGCCGGCTTATCCGGGTGCGTTCTATGAAACTCGTTGGTGAGTGTAGGGTCAAGGATGTCCTTAGCATTGACCCAGGAATGTTCCTCCGGGTCGTACCCCTCCCAGTCCGCCAGATATTGGAGGATGCCACCCCGACGTCTGGAATCGAGTAGTTCTCGAACCTGGTAAATCTCCTCGCCGTCAGCCATGATGGGTGGAGGACCCTGGTCACTGGTCTGCTCCTCCTCCTCTGCTCTCGGACCAACAGCGGGTTTGAGAAGTGAAACATGAAAAGTGGGAGAAATGCGATAATTAGCGGGTAATGCCAAACGGTAAGAAACTGGTGTAATTTGTTTAATAATTTGGAAGGGACCCACATACCTGGGACTGAGTTTCCTGCATGGAAGTCGGAGGCGGAGATCTCGGGTAGACAACCAGACCCATTGCCCTGGAGCACATTCAGGACTGGGGCGACGGTGACGATCAGCTTGTGACTTTTGTCTTCTAACCGCATGTAGCAAGTGTGTGTGAGCTTGTTTCCAGATGTTCTCGCTCCTCTGGAGCCAGTCGTTGACAGCAGGTACTTCAGTAGGTTCTCCTGACCATGGAAATAACGGTGGTTGGAAACCCATTATACATTGAAACGGAGTGAGTCCGGTTGAGGGTTTTTGTAGTGAATTTTGAGCGTACTCTGCCCACATGAGGTATCGGCTCCAGTCAGTCTGATTCTGTTGGCAGTATGATCTGAGGAATCGTGTGATCTCCTGATTGAGTCGTTCCGTCTGGCCATTAGATTGTGGATGATATCCTGATGTGAGGCTGATGTTGACATTTAGTCTTTGAAAGAAAGCTGACCATACCCTGGATGTGAATTGGGGCCCTCGATCTGACACAATGTCCTCAGGGAGACCATAGAAACGAAATACAAAGTTGCATAGAGATTCAGCCGTTTCAAAAGCTGTCGGTAGTTTGGGGAGAGGAATTAAACGACAGGCCTTGGAAAAACGGTCTATGACGGTGAGTATAGTGGTGTTGTTATTGGATTTGGGGAGGTCAGTGATGAAGTCAATAGCCAGATGGGACCATGGTCGGTGGGGAACTGGTAAGGGGTGTAACAGGCCAGATGGTAGCTTTCGTTTACTTTCGTTACAGGTGATGCAACCGTGGATAAAGTCAGTAGTGTCAATCCTCATGGTTGGCCACCAGAATTTGTTCTGGAGGAGATGGAGAGTGGCCGTAATTCCGGAATGACCAGAGCTGAGCCCCGAGGTGAACGTGTTGCATGACCTTTTTGCGGAGCTCCTGAGGAACAAAGACCTTATCGGGAGGGCATTCGGGAGGGGAGAGTTCTTGTGAATTGGCCTGTTCAAGCTCTGTCATGATGTCCCACTGGACGGGGGCCACAATTAATGGTTCAGGGAGAAGGCTTTCTTCAGAGTTACTGGGATCTAGACAGTCGTGTTGACGTGACAAAGCATCAGCCTTGGTATTCTTGGAACCGGGTCGATATGTGACCAAGAAATTAAAGCATGTAAAGAACAGTGCCCATCAGGCCTGTATGGGGTTTAGTCGTTTAGCAGATCGTAGATATTCCAGATTTTTGTGATCCGTCAGTACAACGAAGGGGTGCTTTGATCCTTCTAGCCAGTGTCGCCATTCCTCCATGGCTACTTTCATAGCCAACAGTTCCCGGTTAACGACATCATAGTTTTGTTCGGCAGAACTGAGCTTGCGAGAAAAGTATGCACAAGGGTGAAGCTTAGGTGGATTACCATGTCGCTGTGAGAGGATGGCCCCGATGCCAGTATTTGAAGCGTCCACCTCGACTATGAACGGGATCTCTGGATCAGGGTGATGAAGAATGGGAGCAGATGTGAAGCGTGATTTGAGTTCCGTAAAGGCCTCTAATGCTGAGGTAGACCATATGAGATGCGCAGAGCCTCTCTTTGTCATGGAGGTTAGAGGGGCGGCTACGGAACTGAAGTTTCTGATGAAGCAGCAGTAGAAATTTGCAAATCCTAAGAAGCGTTGTAGTTCTCTTAGTGTCGCCGGTTGTGGCCAGTCGAGAACAGCTCTGACCTTCTTCTCGTCCATCGCCACTCCCTCCTGACTGATGATGTAACCCAGGAATGACGTACCGGTCTGGTGGAATTCACATTTCTCAGCTTTGGCATACAGTTTATGGTCGATGAGTCTTTGTAAAACTGACCTCACATGTTGTACATGTTCCTCATATGTGTTGGAGTAGACAAGGATGTCATCGATGTAAACGATTACCCAACGATCCAGCATATCCCGGAAGACGTCATTGATGAAGGATTGGAACACCGAAGGACTGTTAGCAAGGGCGAAAGGCATAACGGAATATTCATAGTGCCCAGTACAGGTGGAGAAGGCTGTCTTCCACTCATCACCCTCTCTGATGCGGATGAGATTGTAAGCGTTGCGGAGATCTAACTTGGAGAAGTAGTTGGCTTTGCGAAGTTGCTCCAAGGCCGGTGGTACTAGTGGCAATGGGTATCGGAATTTAACAGTTATGTCGTTGAGACCCCGGTAATCGATGCATGGACGTAGACCTCCATCTTTTTTCTTAACGAAGAAGAATCCTGCTGATGCAGGTGAGGTTGACGGCTTGATGAATCCCTTAGAAAGTTCCTCGTTGATATATTTCTTCATAGCCTCTGACTCGGGTCGAGATAAGGGAAAGATACGGCCTTTGGGTGGTGTTGCACCTGGTAGTAGTTCAATAGCACAGTCGCTAGAACAGTGAGGGTGTAGTTTTGACACCTTGGATTTACTGAAGGCCTCAATGAGATCTGTGTACTCTGTGGGAAGTGTAGACGAGTAAGCTGACTCATCCGTGAGCTTGACGGCTTGAACTGAGATTGCTGGCTTGTTGCTCAGACACTTGGCTTGACATGAAGGATCCCACTGAATGATCCGTCCCTTCCTCCAGGAGATGAGTGGGTCATGTTGTCGTAACCAGGGAAGTCCGAGAATTACCGGATTATGTGGTGAAGTGATGATGTAGAAACGAATGTTCTCCGTGTGAAGGGTCCCGGTCTCCAGACGTAAGTCCATGGTGGTGTGCATGACCCTTCCCTCACCAAGAGGACGTCCATCTAGCGCCTCCACAGCCAGCAGAGAATTGCAAGGGATTAGAGGAATGTTATGTTGTCGAGCAAATTCATGTGACATGAAATTCCCCGCTGCCCCTGAGTCCAGTAGCGCTGAGGTAGATATGTTATTACCCTCTATGGACAGTGTTATGGGTACTTTTATGCATGTACTGGAGTGATGTGCTTGAATGCATGGACTCACCGCAGAGAAATTACGAAGAGGCGGTCGTGTGGGACAGGAGGCCCGGAGATGGCCAGCTTGGCCGCAGTAGAGACAGAGATGTTGAGTGATTCGGCGCTCACGCTCCTCTGGGGACAGGTGAGTGTATCCGAGCTGCATGGGTTCCACAGAGGAGGAAGATGAGGAAGTGATTGGAACAGGATGACTGGTGGGTATGGTTCTGGTAGGGCGACGAGAACGAATCAAGTTGTCAATTTGAATCGCCAATTCGATTAATTGGTTGAGCGTTCTCCCCTCGTCCTTACACGCCAGCTCCGATTGTAGTTCTAGGCTTAGTCCCTTGCGGAAGATCAGTTTCACCTTGCTTTCGACCCAATCAGTCTGAGCAGCGAGGGTGCGGAATGATAAGGCATACTCAGCTGCAGTATTTCTTCCCTGACATAAGGCAAGCAATTGTTCATCCGCAT